ACGCTGATCACGGGAAATGCAATTGCCGGTTCTCGGCTGCGCTTTCCTCTGTCAGAGCGCGAGGAAAGAACCGGCAGTTTTCAGAGCAGGGATTGGCACCGATCATCAGGGCACTGATGATCAGTGCTCTGATGATTGGTGCCCAGCAGTGCCACCCACCAGTTCCACCCAGCAGTGCACCCACCCTGTGCCCATAAGTGCCACCTACCTGTGCCCAACAGTGCCACCCACCTGTGCCCACCCACCTGTGCTCACCAGTGCCCCCCACCTGTGCCCACCAGTGCCACCCACCAGTGCCCATCAGTGCAGCCCAGCAGTGCTGCCAGTCAGTGCCCAGCGGTTGTGCCAGTCAGTGCCCAGCAGTTGCGCCAGTCAATGCCTAGAAGTGCTGCCAGTCAGTGCCCAGCAGTGCTGCCAGTCAGTGCCACCTATCAGTGCTGTCTATCAGATGCCGCCTATCAGTGCCGCCTATCCGTGACACCTCATTAGTGTTGCCTATCAGTGCTGCCTATCCGTGCCACCTCATTAGTGCTGCCTATCAGTGCTGCCTACCAGTGCCCATCAGTGCTGCCTATCAGTGCCCATCAGTGCCGCCTATCAGTGCCCATCAGTGCTGCCTCATCAACGCACATCAGTGAAGGAGAAAAATTTTATAATAGAAACAAAGAAACTTTTTTTTTTCAATTTTTTTGCATTTTTTTTGTTTATAGCACAAAAAGTAAAGTGCCCAGCGGCGATTAAATACCACCAAAAGAAAGCTCTATTTGTGAGAAAAAAAAGATAAAAATTTCATATGGGTACAATCTTGCATGACTGCGCAATTGTTAATCAAAGTGCGACAGCACTGAAAGCTTAAAATTGGCCTGGTAAAGAAGGGGGTATAAGTGCCCGGTAGGCAAGTGGTTAAACTGCTTAGTAAATAGTATGGATAAAAATAGCCTAAGTGCATTATTTCAGTTCTTTATTTACCGAAAAGAAATTCCATAACTTTGTGTGGTGTCAACTTGCACGCGCAAGTATGTAACATTGTTTTGCAATTGTAGCAACATTAATCTCAAGAGTTTTAACTGTCTGTTGATAACTTGTGTCAAAACAATTTTATAAGGTCCATATAACTGGCTTTTACCCAAGCAACCAAATGAACAGTAAATCAGTGCTGTTGTAGAGAGAGACTGTAAAACTGTGTTATGTGTGCCACACATCTTCATTTATAAAGGCTCTGTAATGATGAACTTCAGCTTACTGCTTGGAATGTTTGCAGTGCTAGCTCAAGGTTATGAGAAACACAGCAATTAAATTCTTGAGGCTAACTTCTTGTACACATAACAGATAAATAGGAAAAACTATAAATTGCACCACACAGCATATAACTGAACTCCAGGCAGATACAAAAAAATACCAAATAATCTAGTTATGTCATAAAAAATAGTGTAGCGCTCTTAATTAATGTTAAGAAATGTGTGCCAAATACATATAATGCAACCCTAAAAATAAATCAATACATACAGTATATTCCTCCATATTAATAGTATCAAAAGGATAAATAGAGCCAAACTTGTATTCAAAATAAATATCTCTATCACCCACTGGAAACACGTGTACACACACTAAAACAATTTAACATAAGATAAGTGACTAAAAAAAAATATATATATATAGTGCACACACACCTACTGCATTAAACGATGTTTAAGTCTCCAAACCAGCTTTATCCAATAGGGAACTCTACATAAAATATTATAGTGCTCACACAGTGCAAAAATAAGTGTCCTCTCTTCTAAAAATCAATCTCAACAATGTCCTTTGTGGTGATGAATAAAATCATGCAATGTGCAATAGTGATCAATAAATCCGTGATTGTGTCAAAAAAATCTTCTCCTATTAGCGGCTAGATTGCCTCCTCACCTCCTCCCAGTGACCCCTAGGGGCGAACAGGCTTGCAGGATCACCCTGGATCCTTGACTTATAAGGGCCAGCAGCTTCCTTTCTTCTCCCTGGATCTCCTTTATGGGGCTCCTATTGCCCCTGGTCAGCCAAAGTAACTCTGAAGGGTAATAGCTCACCAATCCAGTGAGCCAAGAAAAAACCTCTAAGTGTAGTACTTCAATATAACTTCTTTAATCGAAAGGTAAAGAGTAACACTCACATTCCTAGCAGTCCTCCCTCCTCACCGATGTGTGGGTACACTGCATGTGAATGGGACTTCCTGGGTGTAGCAAAATGGCGTTGCACGCCGGAAGTGCGTCACCACACACCAGAAAAAACTATGGACTCGCGAACCTACGCGTTACGTCACCGTCTGCTCGTGACTTCCTCGGGGTATCATACCTCTCTCTCTCTCTCTCTCTCTCTCTCTATATATATATATATATATATATATATACACACACACACACACACATTTTTATGCAACTACTGTAAGTACCTGTATTTGATTTTGTATTAGACTTTTGTAAGCCCTAGTGCAGTACCATTGTGAGACAGTAGGGAAACGTGTAAGGAAAGAGCTCAGGTGTATTATAAGTGCATACATTGACGGTTGTGTGGCCATGCGGCCTGATCGGTTCACTATATTATTGGCAACAGGTAGTTTTTTTTTCTTTTTTCACTTTCCTTGTTTGTACCAGAAACAATTTTGCTAGGTCATCTTTTTGTCATTTGGTTTCTGCTGTTGATGATATTGTTTGCTATTGCAGCTCCCGTGGATCTCTGCTGGCGTCACCTGGCCCTGCCTGTCCCCCCACACAATGTGTTTTTAAGCATTTCTCATATGCTTTATCCTTACATGTGATCCTTGACCATACTCCTGAGTGCTGTAAGTGATGAACATAATGTTTCATGTTTCATATTGATATCTGTATTAGTAATTGGTATTGATGTGTGTCCGTTTTTTTAATTCCAAGGTTCTGGGACTGTCCTTGCAGAAGATCTTCAGTCTCAAAAAGGCATTGGACATTGGAACTACGCTATCTGGACTATAACCAATTCCCCGGTCTATGCAATATTAAGGGGTTCTGTGTTACATCATATGGTTAACTGGCTCTTTTTGAGTTTTTGGTTATTGTTTACATCTTAAATATGAGCCTGTGTGTTCTATGCTCAATACATGTTTAATAAAGTAGTTATTTTTTTATAATCATGTGTGTGTTTTTGCCCTGTAACATGTCTGCCACCCTTTTGTATCTGCAGTCATTGCCAAAAGTATTGGCACCCCTGCATTTCTGTCAGATAATGCACCACTTCACCCAGAAAATTGTTGCATTACAAATGTGTAGGCATTCTCATGTTTATTTATTTTGTTTGTATTGGTATGACACAAAAAAAGTGGAGAAACAATAAGCCAAAACTGACACACAAACCCCCAAAAATGGACTGGACAAAATTATTGCCACCTTCTCAAAATTGTAAACTGTTGTATGTCCCTGTGTACCACATGGAGCATGCAGAAAAGAAAGAGCAGTAAAAAAATTATCTGAGGATTTGAGAACAAAAATTATGGAAAGCATGGGCAATCTCAAGGTCCCAATCCATCTCCAGAGATCTTAATGTTCCGTTTCCACTGTGCAAAACATTATCAAAATGTTTGCAACTCATGGTGCTGTAGCTAATCTCCCTGGACGTGGACAAAGGGGAAAAATTGATCAAAGATTGCAACAAAGGATTCTTTGAATGGTGAATAAAGACCCTCGATCAGCTTCCAGACAAATTAAAGCTGCCCTTCAGACACAGGTTACAACTGTGTTAGCTTGCACTATGTGTCACCATCTGAATGAAAAGGGACGTTATGGTAGGAGACCCAGGAGGACCCCACTGCTGACATAGAAACGTAAAAAATACAAATTGGAGTTTGCCAAAATTTACCTGAGGAAGCCAAAATCCTTTTGGGAGAATGTGCTGTGGACAGATGAAACAAAATTACAGCTTTTTGGTAAAGTCCATCATTTTACTGTTTTCAGAAAAAACAAATAAGGCATTTAAAGAAAAGAATACAGTCCCTACAGTCAGACATAGTGGAGGTTCACTGATGTTTTGGGGTTGTTTTGCTGTTTCAGGCACTGGATGTCTTAACTGTGTACATGGCATTATGAAATTTGAAGGCTACCAAAAAATTCTCGGGTGCAATGTAGGGCCCAGTGTTAGAAAGTTGGGTCTCCTTCAGAGGTCATGACTCTTATAGCAGGACAATGACCCAAAGCACATGTCAAACAGCACCCAGAAATGATTTCAAACAAAGTGACGGAGAGTACTGAACTGGCCAATGAGTCCAGATGTCAATCCCATAGAGCACCTGTGGAGAGATCTCAAACAGTAGATGGGAAAAGGAACCCTTCCAATCTGAGAGACCTGGAGCAGTTGGCAAAAGAAGAGTGGTCCAAAATTCCAGTATAGAGATGTAAGAAACTCAGTGATGATTACAGGAAGCGATTGATTTCAGTTATTTTTTCCAAGGGGTGTGCTACCAAATATTAAATTGAGGGTGCCAATAGTTTTGTCCAGTCCATTTTTTTAAGTTTAAGCGTGGAATGTGTCAGATTTAGCTTTTTGTTTCTCCACTTTTTTGTGTCATATCAATACAAACAAAAGAAACAAACATGAGAATGCCTAAACATTTGTAACTGCAACAATTTTCTGGGCGAAGTGGTGCATTATCTGACGGAAATATGGGTGCCAATATTTTTGGCCATGACTGTATATTTCTTCTGGGATGGGCATTAAGTGATCTCCAGTCACACCATTTCATATTTTGTATAAACAGTACATTAATAATAGACATGATGACAAAGGAGAGAGCAGTGTGAGTCAGTGGGTGATTTGCTGCTGCTTCATTGCTGGGTGGGGGCAGAGAGATGGCCTACTTTTGTTCCTTAAAAGAGAACTAAAGTCATTTTAACCACCTCCCGCCCGCCATATAGTACAATGACGGGTGCAAGGTGGTTCTTTCGTTCTGGGAGGACGTCATATGACGTCCTCCCATTCTAAGCGCACAGCGCAGTGATTGGTGGTGCGCTGTGTACCACGGGGACACAGTGGATCACCGATCAATGGAAAGAGCTGAAGATGTCTGCTCGGTCATGTGATCAGCTGTGTCCAATCACAGCTGATCACATGTAAATAGGGAAATGCCGGTCATCGGCATTTCTCTCCTCACGAGCTGTCATGCTGACAGAGGAGAGGAGAGCTGGTAATTGGCATTCCTCGTAGGGGACATGTGCACTGATCATCAGAGCACTGATGATCAGTGTGCCCTGATGATCTGTGTAGCCCCAGCAGTGTCACCTGTCAGTGTCCATCAGTGCCAGCTGTCAGTGCTCATCCATGCCACCTGCCAGTGCCCATCAGTGCCACATATCAGTGCCTACCAGTGCACATCAATGCCACATATCAGTGCCCATCTGAGCTGCCTTTCAGCATCACCCATCAGTGCCAGTCAGTGCTGCCTATCAGTGCCACCTATCAGTGCCAGTCAGTGATGACACCTATCAGTGTGCATCAGTGCAGCCGATCAGCGCCCGTCAGTGTTGCCTATCAGTGCCACCTAACAATGCCAGTCAGTGCCCCCTAACAGTGCCAGACAGTGCCGCCCATCAGTGCCAGTCAGTGACACCTATCAGTGCCACCTATCAGTGCCATATATGAGTGCTGCCTTTCAGTGCCCATCAGTGATGCCTGTCAATGCCCATCAGTGCCACCTACCAGTGCCTCCTCATCAGTGCCCATCAGTGCCACCTATCAGTGTCCATGAGTGCAGCCTATCTGTGCCCATCAGTGCAGCCTCATTAGCGCACATCAGCGAAGGAGAAAAATCACTTATTTACAAAATTTTGTAACAAAAACTAAGAATTTTTTTTTTTTTCAAAATTTTCAGTGGTTTTTGGTTTGTTTAAGAAAAAATAAAAAACCAAGAGGTGATTAAATACCACTAAAATAAAGCTCTCTCTGTCACAAAAAAATTATAAACATATCATATGGGTACAGTGTTGCATGACCGCGCCATTGTTATTCAAAGTGCGACAGCGCTGAAAGCTGGAAACTGGCCTGGGCAGGAAGGGGGTATACGTGCCCTGTAGGCAAGTGGTTAAAATAGACAGTGAGCAGGCAGCCTATTATTGCAGAAGAGACATGCAATGTCTGTTCTATGATAAATTAGACCTACTTGCCTGCTCCCAGTCTTCTGCAGCATGTATACTGAACTGAGCATACTCAGCTCGGCTTTCATCATCAGCACAGTCCCTGTGTGTCAACTTACTGACATCTGTGCTTGCAGAAGGGAGAAGTCTACTGGATACAAGTTCTGGCAAGTCTAGAGGGGACAGTGCAAAGCTTACCCAAGCCCCTGTCCTGGGATCAGGTAGCGTAGCCAGGTGGGCTGGTATTTTGAACACTTAGGGGATTTAGACCTCCTATAAGTTGCGACTTTGCTAAAATCGATGCTTGGGAACTCAGAGCTCCTGCAAGTTGCTGTACTTTGCTAAAAGAGACTGTCAAGTTTCTGGCTGGACCAGAAGGAAGTTGTCATCAAACTGTTATTCTTCAATTAAATTGGGCACCCCATAATCCCTATGCCCTATCCAAATTAAATTCTGTAATAAAACCAAAAAAAAAAACAAGCCCATGGACTGGATGAAAATGAGTAATGCGTGTCACCTTGCTGTGCAGGAAGTAAAGGGGGACCCAACACCAGCAGCTCTCAAGAAGGTAGCACAAAACACTCTACACCCTCCCCACCCCTCTTGTCCCTACTGCATTTACCTCCATTAGAGATTTAGTTTCACTGACCATGCAGCCCAGTGCAGTAGTCCTGGGGTTTGAAAACTGTGCTACTCTTCCTCTGGCACATGACTATGCTGAGCAATCAGAACCACTCTGATCTGTTCCATTGTCCCTAGAGAACGAAGTGGTAGAACAACATGGTTTGCAAACCCCAGGACTGCTGCACTGGGCTGCATGGTCAGTGAAATTGAATCCTCCACAGAGGTAAGTGCAGCAGGGAATGAGACATTGGGGTTATGATACATTATTATACCGCTGCTCTGTCCCTATGTTTTCCCATGTGTGTAAAAATCTGCTGTATTTCAGGTTATGGGTAGGTGATCTGAAGGGATGGGCCATCACTATGAATATAGAGCTATATACTGTATATGCGTGGATATTATTGAAATTTTTCTAAAAGAGGAGGATGCATCAGATATTTTATGTCAGACCAGGAAGCTGCCTGCACTATCTCTGGTTATGTTGGATATGCCAATATAGCTGGATGAAGATCACTTTTTCCAATACAACAAGGGATGTACGTCATATTATATTAAGGGATGTGTGGCATTCATAGCAGATGTTATGTGTAATAGAGTGACAGACAAGTGGCATATGCATCTATGTGTTGCTTTAAACTACTATGGATAATTGACCATTCTTCTTTGCAAATAGCTCAAGCTCTGTCAGACTGGATGGAGAGCATCTGCGAACAGCAATTTTCAAGTCTTGCCACAGATTCTCAATTGGATTTAGGTCTGGACTTTGACTGGGCCATCATAACACATGAATATGTTTTGATATAAACCATGCCATTGTAGCTCTATGTTTAGGGTCGTTGCCCTGTTGGAAGGTGAACCTGCTCCCCAGTCTCAAGTCTTTTGCGGACAGGTTTTCTTCTAAGATTGCCCTGCATTTGGCTCCATACATCTTTTCATCAACTCTGACCAGCTTCCCTGTCCCTGCTGAAGAAAAGCATCCCCACATGATTCTGCCACCACCATGTTTTACGGTGGAGATGGTGTGTTCAGGGTGATGTGCAATGTTAGTTTTACGCCATAGCGTTTTGCTTTTAGACCAAAAAGTTAAATTTTGGTCTCATCTGACCAGAGCACCTTCTTCCACATGTTTGCTGCATCCCCCAGATGGCTTCACGCAAACTGCAAATGGGACTAACGGCTTTCTTTCAACAGTGGCTTTCTTGCCACTCTTCCATAAAGGCCAGATTTGTGGAGTGCACAACTAATAGCTGTCCTGTGCACAGATTCTCCCATCTAAGCTGTGGATCTCTTACCATGGGCCTCTTAGCTTCTTCTCTGATCAATGCTCTCCTTGCCCAGCCTGTCAGTTTAGGTGAACAGCCATGTCTTCGTAGGTTTGCAGTTGTGCCATACTTTTTCCATTTTCAGATAAGGGATTGAACAGTGGTCCATGAGATGTTTAAAGCGTGGGATTTTTTTAAAAACCTAACCCTGCTTTAAACTTCTCCAGAACGTTATCCCTGACCTGTCTAGTGTGTTCCTTTGCCTTCATGATGTTGTTCACTAATGTTCTCTAACAAACCTCTGAGGGCTTCACAGAATAGCTGTATTTTTACTGAGATTAAATTACATACACCTTAAACACATAGGTGGACTCTGTTTTACTAATTAAGTGACTTCTGAAGGCAATTTGTTCCACTAGATTTTAAGTAAGGGTATCAGAGTAAAGGGGGCTGCATACAAATGCATGCCACACTTTTCAGATATTTATTTGTAAAAAAAATTTGAAAGCCATTTATCATTTTCCTTCCACTTCACAATTATGTGCCGCTTTGTGTTGTTCTATCATATAAAATCCCAACAAAATACATTTACGTTTTGGTTGTAGCATGACAAAAATGTGTAAAATTTCAAGGGGTATGAATACTTTTTCAAGGCACTGTATATATCCCACATGCTTGTAATGTCCACCATCAACATTAAAACTTACACCATGAAATTTAAGTAATCCGTATTTAATCAAATCTTCTTAGTGTTCACCAATTCTCTGCTCTTCTAGCACTAAAAATCCTAAATAAACTCACTCAGGTTCATACTGGTAAAATCATAAACCAGCTTATAGCGTGTACCACTGTGGAAGTAATGATCTGCCGCCTCACAATCCTTCTCTCAAGGGCCCTCTCAGAAAAGGTCACTAAATTGCAAAGGGGAGGAAGAAAGAAGAGGGAAGCTCCCATAGCATAAAACCATTTTGAAAAACTTTTTATTGCATGAAAACATTTATTAAATTCACATTTACATGTGTTGCCACTGACACAAGTGTACAGGCACAATCATCAACTGCCGGGTTGTCTGCAGCCGCAATCTCCAAACTGCGAGCACAGACCTAGCCATGCGTTGTGACATTTCACCATTTGCCGTCCTCCAGGGGCGACACAGTCCAGTTTCAGTAAAACTTGAAACTTATATTAAAGAGAATGCCAAATTACAAACAACCCCAGTGGAAGTGCAACACCTAGGGTGAAACTCACAATTTAGTTCAATGCAGAGATGCAGTGGGAAAAGATGCACACAGAAAAGATGCATCTATTTTCAAAGGGTGGAATGCAGCTTAGCCAGTCTGGTCTTAATGGGGAGGCTTCTTTGTCCATACTCATCTGGAACCTGACAAATGGGTGCACTTTCCCTACTTTAGCCACTTCCCAATAGCGCACGAAAAACTGGGATCGGGAGCTTATAAAGGCTCTGCTGACCCAATATGGCTGCCAGAGGTCACCTGGATGCAGCATCACAAATCGGAACATTGCCTCCAGGAACCAGGAAACCATAGAGAACCTATGTTTCTCCTGACTTCCTCTCTGGGCTGTGATACCACTCCGGTCAGGTGCCACCTACAGTGGAGACAGTAGACTGCACCTGCCTACACGTTACACAATTTTTCCATTCTTGCTGCAGGATATGCTACAGCAAACATGGCATTTACAAAGAAAAAAATGAAATCATTTAAATTGACAGCAATTAAATTGGAAGTAATTCTACCACTACTATATATGATAGCTTTCTTCTATTGAAAGATTGTTAAGAACGCTGGCACTCCTTAACATCCAGTAATGTCACCTAGCTCATTCATATGCTGTCTTGAAATCCCTGACCATGTAAACGATGGTGGCGGATATCACTGGTCAAATATGTGGGCTCCCTTATATTAAAGAGGGCTTCCAGATTCTGACATCCCACAACCACTGGGCCAGTATTGTGGAGGAGAGGGACCCCCTCCATGTTGGGGTGACAGCTTTGTAAATGTCACTTTTGCTGTATTACTGTATACAGCCTAAAAACCCTGATTGAAAGACTGTGCTGTTATATAACGATGAGTTTTTCAGGAAGCAGATGCAGAGAATTGAGTCACATGAGCTTATACATACAGGGGCGGCTGTATTTTCACCCTGACCAGAAGCAGAGACTATTAGACAAGTATTCTACTAGTTTAACTGCAGCTGCCCATAGCTTCTTGAGTTTGTATCTAAATCCTTGTAACAGACTTAGCTCTATTCTACTGTTATTATCTCACATCCACAATGCCAGATAGCTAGGTCTGTGCTACTGTATGTGTTTAGTGGTCACCTTCCAGTATATTAGTATTTAATGCTATAGAGTTTACTTGTGGCTCCTTTTATTTTAGTTAGGCCTGCCATGGAGATCTTTAGCTAGTTTGAGCACAGGGTTCAATAACCAGCATAGGCTAGAGTCTGGTTAGGCATCCGACAGCAACTTCTGGTTCGGTTGCATGGCAGATTAGACACTACTGGGGACTAAGAGCAGAGTAAATAGCCAGATCCTGAGTTCCAGTGCCATACCAGGGTTCCTGCTGTAGAGAAGTTACATTCCAGGCTGGATGTACTACTTTTCACTGTAGGTCCTGTCTTTAGACAATACACCAAGGTGCATGCCACATCATGATCATCCTCAGGGGTCCCTGAAACTGGACTTTTATACTAGGTATATATGCACAATTCCACCAGGGTTCTTGTTGGGCCCTTTGCTGATAATACAATTGTGCACAGTTTATGTATTTACTATTATTAATGTATTCCTATATAAAGCTTGCATTATCTCAATACTAGAGTGCATCTATATGCTTATGATTAATGTTTTATGCTGGTTGAAGTAGTTATTCTGCTCCTAATTACTTTATTTAGATTACTGCTTCATTATGCAGGAAGGGAATCCCCTCTGTTCACAGATTTCCTGTCCTGGTTGGAGGCACTGCCAACTTTATTATCCAACCCACTCTTCCACTTAGCGATGGTTCTGGTTATCTTATTTACCCACAGGTTTAGCACAATATCCTGTCTGGGGAGGGTCATTTGTCATAACCCCCAAAAGAGGGCTACAGTTATGTGTGTTTTGTCTCCTACTCCTCCTAATACTTTAATAAGCTGTTTAACATAAATATTTATATATAAAAAAGGCTTGTTACAAATCTAACATAACATTTTTGGTGAATGGCATAAATATGTTAAGCTATATACAATAAAAATGTTGCAAAAGATGTTTCTAGATGTATATTGACTGTATCTGAATTCAGTTCATGAAATTAACTAATTGTCGGTCGATAATGTCCATGTACACTGAGCGCCATGTTTCTCCTCATTTCCATGGCATAATTAAGAACCAATACTTTTTGTCTTTCAATTTTTGCCAGTACATTGTTGCTTCTTACAAACATTGACACAATGATCAGAACATTTCTCTCCCAAAGCCTTCTGCTTTCTTATTTGCATGTTCTCTCGACATTTTTTCCCTACAAGATATGAAGCTTCCACAAGGTTCAGAAGGACGCACAAAGCAGCTGTAATGATCATGAACAGAGTGAAGATGTTCTTTTCAGATGGCCTGGAGATGAAGCAGTCTACTGTGTTCGGACACGGACTAAGTGTGCATTTCACTAATCGAGGAAGGAAGAAATTTTTATACAGTCGATGAAAAACATAAATAAAAGTTAGGTCCACAAGAGCTTTGATTAGAAGACTCAAGAGATAGGTCCACCATAGGCCCCCCTCTCTTTTTGCTAATGTCTTTGTAGAGCTTCTCACATTTCTCCCCCAATCTTTCCCTGTGTTTTCTTTCTCGGTTTTCCCGATAGGCAACATGCATCACAACAAGAAGAGAAGGGCAGGTGACTAGAATGAGCTGTAAAGCCCACAGTCGAATGTGAGACACGGGAAAGTAGTTGTCATAGCAGACATTAGAACACCCTGGTTGCCGAGTGTTACAGTCAAAGTCTTTTTGGTCATCTCCCCAGACGCGGACTGCAGCTACTCCATATACCAAGATGCGAAATATAAAAACAATGGAGAGCCAAAGCCGACCAAATTCTGTGGAGAATTTGTTTACACCGGTCAGCAGAGCTTCATACACACCCCAGTTCATTGTTCCGCCTCTGGTTTCTCTGAAGTTTCTGTTAATTAAAAAAAAATATATAGTATTTAGTTTATTTGTGCAGTTTATGCTTAAAAATTATACTTTAAACTTTCCTGCTTTCTGGATTTGTATACTAAATATTGAATATAAATACTGAATATTATTGTTATAAATTTGATATTATATTAAATCACACATGAAACCATTCTTGATTATGAAAGCTGAGCTTTTGTAAATAATTATACCTTCATGTTCTAATATTTACATTATCATAATATATAGTATGTAAGCAGGTGAGCTTTGTTTTCTCCACTGAAGGTGGCGCTCAAATCGAGTAATGCCTCAGCCTGGAGAGGAAGTCCAGGAGAAATAACATTCATCTATGGTTTCTTGGGCCAATGGAGCAGTGTTCCAGTTGGCCATACTGCGCCCATTGACCATCGGTGGCCATTTTGGGTCAGAGGGTCCATTTCCCTGCTTCCGGGTTTTGGCATGCTTCTGGCATGTGGTTAGGGTAGGTAGAGAGACCTCTCTTGTTAGGGAAAATAGCTAGTGGTAGGGGAAGGTTCCTGATGAGGAGGGAAAGATTAGGGGCTTCCTATCCTGGAAAGGAACTTCCCTCTTTGGACAGGATGGTCAGGCCACACTTCACCCTCTGAAACATACGCTGTCAGCACATCTCCTCCTCTACATCTGACTACATTGAACTGTGAGATATTACCCTAGTGGTTTTCTGCCGCCTGGGTGTTTGTAATGTTGGCATTTTGTTTATTACAAGTTCCAAGTTATACTGCAACTGAACTCTGTGTATTTACTGCCCGCACCACACTGCACCTCCCCACAAGTATGTCATCTGACAGATGGTTATTGACCATTCTAGCCTGCTCTGTTATTCTTCATAGTTAAAGTGGTGACTTACTAAAGTAGTAGAGGCTGTCCACTTGACAATGTGAATGTTCACGTTAAAGATTCAAGTGCAAAGTAAATATAACATTGTATTTGCTTGCCCATGATTGCATCCTTGAAATAAAACAGTTTAATTTTATTCACAAAGTTAAGTGAACATTAATTTTTTAAGTGATCAGTTTCTATTCCATTAATAGACCGAACAGGGATGAGTGACTAATTTTGTTGACGTTGATCTCACAGCAAAATTAATGATTTTGCCAAAGTTTTGTCAAAATTTGCTTTTAATTGATAGAGAAACCATAACATACTCCATTACTGTTTGAACTTAGCTTTGTTTTTAACATGTGAACATGTGGGTCGGTTGATAAACAAAATATTTAGTTTGCCTCGTAATGCTAACATGCCAATCAATTAACTTTGACTATAAATAAACATTTAGGGTTATTGTTAGAATTAGAGCTAGGATAAGGGTTACTACTAGGGTTAGGGTTAACATTTTTTGGTACAAGAAAGGTTCCAGGATAGATGAAAGGATCTTCCCTGCAAACAAACCATTGCAAAGGCTTGGGACTCTCCCAGCTTTAGCATATCCTAGACTAAAAACATATATACGCAGGCCATGATCTGTGCTAAAATGGAAGCTGTTTACCTGGATAAAGTGAGCAAATATGAGAAATTGTGGTGCCCTTGGGTAATCTATTACTTACCTCCCAATTCTGATGAGTCGCTATTGATGCCATGATGGTCTCCCCTAACCATGAGTAGCTATTTAAAGCACATTGCACACTTAGAAAATATTAACGCCTTTGTGCTGGCCATAAGCATGTTTGCAGTCTCTCGGTGGGTGGGCCTTAATGCTGTGAGGCCGCATATATGTGTACCTAAAGATAAACAGAACTGTGCTCAGCGTACGCACTGTGCGTGCTCCAGGCACAGTTACCGGTGGTTAACAGAAAACTCCCAATCTCTACTGGCGATCGAGAGCTTTCAATCATGTGACCGCTGTTAAAGCCAATTGCAACAATCACATGATTAGAAAACCCGCCTCGCCTCCCAGCACCAAAACCCCTTAAAGGGCTGGGAGGCACAGGCACAAAGGGGTTTAAAAAAAATCTTAGTTTTGCCGAAAAGACATTCATTGAAAATTTTACTCTACAGTCTTAAAGGTCTTGAGCTAGACAAATATACTGTATATATACATAATTTATTAAAGGTACTAATATAGCGCTGTCAATTTATGCAACATGTTACACATATATATTGTACATTCACATCAGTCCCTGCCTTCAAGTAGCTTGCAGTCTAAGATCCCTAATTTAAAACAACCATACACAATTGAGACAGGGTCCAATTGACCTACCAGCATGTCTTTGGAGGAAACCCATGCAGATACAGGGAAAACATGCAAACTCCAGACAGTTGCTGCCATGGTTGGGATTTGAACTGATGACACTAAACTGCCAGGTGGAAATGCTAACCAAAATGGCAAAATGTACATGATACATATACATACATATATGTGATGTACATATACAATTTTCATTACTCATGTCATCCAAGAACAAAAAAAAAAATTAGCATTTATTACAAATGAATGTTGCAAGTAATTGTACATTGACAATTAACAGTGATAGTCTGATACATTTTTTGAGTAAATTTAAAATCACAGGAACTACTGTTTCTTTTAACCGCTTTGGGACCGCCCACAGTACTTTTATTGCTACAGGGCGGCCCTTGTGCGCAGGATCACGTATATATACGTGATTCTGCATTGCAGGGTAGGGGGCGCGTGTGAGCCCTACCCGCGCTGCTGATTACGGTCCCGGGTGTCAATCACCGGGTCCCAGACGGTGATTACCCGCTGGCGCCCAGTGATTACTGGCGATCACTGACAGGGAGGAGGGCTACGTTGTTTACCAACATCCCTCCTCCCTGTCAGTTTAGGCACACTGCTCGGGATGGCTGAGCAGAGCCATCCCGATCAGTGTGCTTACAGTGAAGCACACACCCCCTGCCCCCTAGTAAAACACTCCCAGCACACAGTTAACCCTTTGATTGCCCCTCATGTTAACCCATTCCTGCCCATTGCCATTAGTACAGTGTCAGTGCTGTTTTTTAGCACTGATCTCTGTATTGGTGTCACTGGGGATGTCAGTGACACTAAGTCAGTTCCCCCCCAGTGTCAAAATGCTCACTGCAGCAGTCCCGCTATAAGTCGCTGATCGTCACCATTATTAGTATAAAAAAAATAATCCCAGTATCTATACCTCCATTTGTAAACACTATAACTTTCACGTAAACCAATAAATTAACATGTATTGAGATTTTTTTTAGCAAAGACATGTCGCATAATACATTTTTGCCTAAATTTATGATGAAATTTGATTTTTACATTTTTTTACTGGACATGTTTATAGCGCAAAAAATAAAAAATGCACAGGCAATCAAATAGTTCAATTTGTGGGAATAAAAGGACATACATTTAATTTGGGTGCAGCGTTGCATGACCGCGCAATTGTCAGTTAAAGTAACGTAATGCTGTAACGCAAACTGCTTCTTTAACTGCTGCGCAAAATCACATATATAGACGTGATTTGTGCTCTCGTGGTTTTCACTCCCCTCCCAGATAGCGTCGGATTGCTTGTCAGTACACCAGTAATCACATTTAACCCCTTGATTGCCAGGAACACGCTCATACACAATAAACCTCCATTGCTAGTATAGTGTCTGAACGAATCAATATCTTTGATCAGATCAGCACTATACCAGCGTTCACATTAGTATAGTGTCCCCAGAAACACAGCATTAGCGGGATCAGCCCCAGCACCTGCCAGCACCTGAGTTTAGCCCCTACGCTTACCCCCCCCCCCTTCTCCCCCAGCAAGTGCAGTGTCATTTGGTCACTGTCACTTGATATATTGCATACAAAACCGCAATGTTCGCAGAATCAGGCCTGATCTCTGCTAGCACTTGCCAGCACCATAGTTTGTACATGCTATAACTTTCACACAAATCAATCAATATCCACTTATTGGGATTTTTTTTACCAAAAACATGTAGCAAAATACATTTTGGCCTAAATATATTGCAAAATTGGAGTTTTTTGGATATTTTTTATGACAGAAATGAGAAAATATTTGTTTTTTTTTTCAAAATGTTTTTGTTTATAGCGCCAAAAATAAAAAGCACACAGGTGATCAAATACCACCATAAGAAAGCTCTATTTGTGTGAAAAAAGGAAGTTTAATTTATGTACCATATTGCATGACTGCGCGATTGTCAGTTAAACTAGTGCAGCGCTGTAAAGCAAAAAAAAGGTGTAAATTGCAGTATCTATACCATAATTTGTAGATGCTATAACTTTCACACAAAGCAATCAATATACACTTATTGGGATTTTTTTTACCAAAAACATGTAGCAGAATACATTTTAGCCTAATTTATGACTAACTGAGTTTACTATATATTTTTTATACCCCAAATTTTTTTTCTTCACAATTTTTGGTCTTTTTTTGTTTATAGCATGAAAAATAAAAAGAGCACAGGTGATCAAATACCACCGAAAGAAAGCTCTATTTGTATGAAAATTTTTGTTTCGGTACAGCATTGCATGACCGTGCAATTATCAGTTGAAATAGTGCAGTGCCGAATAGCAAAAAGAGGCCGGGTCATTAAGGGAGGTAAATCCTCAGAAGGGCAAGTGGTTAAAGCGTAAATCCCTTTAAATTGTTGATGTGCCAAAAATATAGTTTAAGTCTATATTCTTCTTTGACATGACGATACAGCTTTGAATTGTTAAGCATGTGGTGTCAGCCATGCCTACTTCATTTCTAATGGAATATCTAAAGCACAGACCTCTCCATATCTCCTTCTCCCTCTTTATCTCCATAGCTTCTCATTTTGCACAGACAGAGAGAATACAGAAGTTATCAGCTAATAAGATTTCTTAAGTACTTATCAATCAGACATAACAAAACACTTTTAATAGTATACTTAACAGACCAAAAGAGAAAAAATAAGAGAAGTCCATTGGTAATGTTTACATATAGATGATTTTTTTTGTATATATTTGCACTGGTTGTAAAACAGCACTGTATATA